TGCAATAAAGGATATTTTCATCTTTATTATTAACAACAAGAGGCCCGGTGCATGAGATTTGTGCACTTGGGGTGGGGGTGGGGGCGGTCCTCAGCCTGGCCTGTGCCCTCTCGCAGTCTGGGAGCCCTCGGGGGATGTCCGAATGATGGCTTAGGCCTGCTCCACTCCTCACAGGGAGCGGGCCTAACTTGTCAGTTGGACATCCTTAGTGCTGTCGTGGAGGCAGGAGAGGCTCCTGCCACTGCTATTGCACTCGCCAACCTTATGGGAGCGCACTGACCACCAGGGGGCAGGTCCTGCATTGAGTGTCTGCCCCCTGGTGGTCAGTGCACATCATAGCAACCAGTTGTTCTGCCATTTGGTCGATTTGCATATTAGCCTTTTATTATATAGGATGCCAGTTAAGCCATTGCAGTTTTTCGTGCTATTTTCTCCTTTTAATTTGGGAATATGACTATTGATAAACATAAATATGGAGCAAATGATGGTAATAAATTATGATTACAGTCTGTTGACTTAGAACAAAGGAAGCCCAGAAAAATATGTTGCCCATTTTAGGCACTTAATTTGTGGAATTTTTATTCAAGATGAATTAAACAACTCCTGGAAAGTGACAAATAATTTCTGCTTCTATAGTTTTTACCCTTGCATGGTCCAGCTCAGTGGCCATAATAAGGAGGTACTTGGAGGAGGGCTTTATGTAGCCTTCTCATAACCATCACCAACCTTGCATCAAAACTACCCCAAGTAGAATGCAACAAAAGTAGAACACTGTGCGTCCTAGTCATAATTGGCTTCAAAACAAGTCCCCAGGCTGCTTCTCCAACAGATGCTATCTCAAAGCTTCTCCTATCTCGACTGTCTAGAGCAGCGGTTCTCAACCTGTGGGTCGCAACCCCTTTGGGGGTCAAACGACCCTTTCACAGGGGTCGCCTAGGACCATCCTGCATATCAGATATTTACATTACGATTCATAACAGTAGCAAAATTACAGTTATGAAGTAGCAATAAAAATAATTTTAAGTTGGGGGTCACCACAACATGAGGAACTGTATTAAAGGGTCGCGGCATTAGGAAGGTTGAGAACCACTTGTCTAGAGACACCACTGGTCCTAATATCGCTGTTAGGACAATATCCATCATTCTGCCTTTTAAAGATGTTGTGTCATAGTTTGGACATAAGAGCATGGAGGTGGGGAGCCACACACACAAAGAAAACATAAAACAAGCCATTTTGCACAAAAGACTCATTTGCATAAAAGTGCTAGACCAGTGACCTGCTTTTATGGGCCTCAATTTCTCCACCTGCAGAATGAGGGACTTGAAATGGCTGACCTCAGAATTCCTTTGCAATGCTCAGAGCCTTGGATTCCTGGTTTCATCAACTATCTGAATCTGGATTGCTTATCAACACCTGCTATTGATCTTGTATGCCTGGGTTCTTTTTTGTTACCTTTAACCATTTCTCTGGATGTAAGAACCCCTTACAGAGCAATATAATTATAGAGAATGAAGCCTAGATACTACCTTCAGTAGAGTGCCCTGGCTCTGACCCCTCCCCCATCATCTCACCACCACCAAATGCAAAGCTGACTTGGGTGGAGAAAGACTGCAGAGTCACAGCCCAGTGTGAGAAGGGGAGGAGAGGGGTGCTTATAAGAAGCAAACCACTTCGGCTTATCTCAAGTCACTTCCTTCCTTTACTCATGGTCACAGAAGAAACAAAGTTAAATGTTTTGAAGGGAAATTCTTGGCTCTAGCTCTCTCTCTCTCTCTCTCTCTCTCTCTCACACACACACACACACACACACACACACACACACACACACACAGGACTTTTGCAGAGAAGGGAAAGGGAGTGCAAAACAAAGAAGCAAACAAAGGACTTGGAACAGTCTAGGCAGGGACTCCAGCTAGTGCCGAGAAACGCTGTTTCTTTATTAGCTGCAGCTCGCTTCCCCTGCAGGTGTCACCGCGAAGGCCGTGAGGCGCCCCAGCCGAGGCTGCCAGAGCACCTGGGCCCCCGGGAACTAGGCGCCAGGCCTGGTCTGAGGTCTTTGTAGGGAGGACCTTCCTTGCCATGTGGCCCATGGGAAAGCCAGCCTTGGGGTCAGGAAACTGCCAGCCCCCTTAAGTAGAACTAATTATGACCGCTTACTTCAAAAAGAGGATTTAACTCAAAGCAGATTTAGCAGGGCAGTTTCCAAAGGGCAGTAAGAATCCCAAGCCTGACCTCTGAGAAAATCCTACAGGCTTCATTGCCCCCGAACGCCACAGACCAGTCACGGAGGACGCCTCAGACTGCAGAGAAATTCAGAGATGCCAACTTAAGTTACCAGCGTCCTAGTGGGTGTTTAATTTAACAAAACGAGTGTGTTAGGGTGCGCCCACAGTGACATACACACTGGTGGGCAGTCAGGGGACTGATCTGGGGGGAAAAACATTGACAGTAAAAAATATACAACACTAAAGTATAACCTGTTGAGTCAAAAAAATACTATTTCAAAACCTTAAAGTGGTTTGATATTTAAGTGAAAGGCAAAGCTGTTTAGTGAAGTCTTATCTAAAACATGAAAATTTGGTGACATATCCCAGTTGTGCTGATCAAAGTATAAAAAGCATCTTAAGATAATTTTTTAAAATTTTACTTTGATTTTAAAAACCTTCTACATAGCATTTTGCTCAAAAGATTAGTTTGTTGGAGTTGTCTTAGTAAAATTATCTCCCAAAAAAGGGATTGTAATTGTTTATCTAGAGTTAGTTGAGCAACATGAAATTCGTAGATAAACACGTCTGGGATAGGCTCATTGTATAACTGATATAAGAGTACTGTTTGAACTATAAAGCTCTCCATCCCCTGTTATCATTTCAGTGACTCTCACAGAACACAGGAATTAGGAGAACAAAAAGGAAAGCAAAAGAAACCGCCTGGGTAAGTACAGTCTCTCCATCCACACACTGCATTTAAACCAACAATTCTGAGTGAACTGGTGCCACTTCAGGCATTGGACTGGGGTGTGACATTTTAGAAAAGACATATCTGGTTCTGAATGAAACAATTTACAAAGTGATCAGAAGATATTTAATCCACACAGGTGTTCTTTAAAATTATTTGATTTCAGAACTTTAAAAAAAATCAATATCAAACAGGTTGGTACTCTTTTACTTGACCACATTCTGCCACAGGATATGTAACCAGGGTCTGTTACAGAGATATGTAATGTATACTCTCATTAGGACCTTGTTTGCAATACCTATGCTTCAGGTTGGAAAGTTCACAGAGATTGAGGAGGTGGAGTTTATTCTCACTGCTTGGTTACCAAAATGTCAAATCAGATAATCTATTTGTTCAAACATGAAGCTGATACACCTGAGTGTACAGAAGCAGAAAACAGGCTTAGAGAAACCATCAAGTGAGGATATTGTACGGCCATTGTTCCCTTTTCCATTTTTGCTTCCCCAAGAAACAGGCCAAGTCTAATAATAAGTAACCATTACCAATACTTTTTTTAAAAAGCTAACACAAACCTGTTCTGTTTCATGTTTTATTTCCTCTCTTATTGTGACGGTTTTTTTTCTGGTAAGTAAACTAATCTGTGGAGACCAGATCTCTTTTTGGTAACTAAGTAGATAATAAAGCTGGGATTGATAAAGCTGTTCCATCCCCTGTTATCATTTCAATCCTGGTGGCTCTCAATTTGCAAGACCCATACACAGAAGCAGACACCCTCAGTAACTCAAATCATCAGGATTCAAGTCATTGATTTCAAAGCTTGTGAAATTCACAGACTTAACTACTCAGCTATGGGAAGGAAAAGGAGAAAATAAGTTAAAAAGAAGATGCCAAAATAAAAAGGGGTAACATAGAGTTTGTCAATCTGGAGTTGGCTTCAAAGGTGGCAATCCCTAAAAAAAAAACTACCTACAAGGGTAGATAAGGAAGGCTTGCCCTAGCCAGCTTGGCTCAGTGGATAGAGCGTCAGCCTGCAGACTGAAAGGTCCTAGGTTCAGTTGCAGTCAAGGACACATGCCTGGGTTTCGGGCTTGATCCCTGGTAGGGGGTGTGCAGGAGGCAGCCGATCAATGGTTCTCTCTCATCATTAATGTTTCTATCTCTCCTTCCCTCACCCCTCCTCTCTGAAATCAATAAAAATATATTTAAAACAAATACATTTAGATAAGCAAGGCTCAACACACTAAGTTTTTGTTTTGTTTTGATTTTTTACATTGTCTTAAGAGTTTTCAACCCTTGGAAAGAAAAGCAGGTAGTTCTAGTCATTAAGTAATTTTTATATAACCATATATTAAGATTTTCTATACTGGTATTAAGAATAAATAGGGACCTAGCTGGTTTGGCTCAGTGGATAGAGCGTCAGCCTGTGGACTGAAGGATCCCTGGTTCGATTCCCAGTCAAGGGCACATGCCTTTTAAAGATGTGCCTCGATTCCCTGGTAGGGGGCATACTGGAGGCAGCCAATGGATTATTTTCTCTCATCATTGATATTTCTATCTCTCTCTCCCTCTCCCTTCCTCTCTGAAATCAATAAAAATATATATATTTTTAAAAAAGAATGAATAGGTTTCATTTTAAATTAAATTTTAAAAGTTGCCTTCCTGAATAAATGGATTTCAGTCCCAAAGAGAGCAAGTAGATTATTTCAAATAGAAGGCAATTAGTAGAGAGGCTTTTCAAATGTAGGTGCTTCATTGATCAAGTTCAAATATAAACTTCCCGAGTTGGTTTCCAGCTTTATCGTATTTGGCTTTCAGCATCCTAGCGGGGATGTGGAGTCCTACTTAAAGGCACCCTCAAGCATAATCACATGAATAGTTCCAGGTAAAAGTCTGTCTCACTCTCTAGGGTCAGAAACCATTCAGAAATCGGAAGGAGACTGGGCACCGGTCTGTGGGTCACTGGAGCACAGTCTGGGCCCTGCCAGGAGTGACAGAGACGAGGCTGCAGGCACCCTGTGGTGACCGGTGACCCGTGTGCTCTCACCTCTCCCGCTCCTGCTCCAGCAGGTTGGTGAAGTCGTCGCTCTTGTTCATGTAGTCAGTGTGTTTGTGCTTCTCGTTCTCTAACTCGTACACCGTGCGCCTGTGGCACTTCTCCGCCAGCAGCAGTTGCTCTAACATGCGCCGGTAGGTTTCCTTCTGTTTTTCCTCAAGTCTGTCCAGCTGAGTAAGCAAACATGGGAAAGAGCTTAATATTTTACTTTATTTGTATATGACGCTAAATAATTTGTTTACATTGGCCTAGTAATTTATTACCTGAAGGGGAGAACATTTCCCCCATGCCTTTATTTTCTCTGGGCCCCTTGGCTTTATAAATTAGTCAATAGTAAGACTGCAGTAACTTCCGGCCTTCTGGCCCTTCTACTGTGAACACATGTATGGCTCCTAAACTTTCAGAACAAACTCTTTCCCTGTTTTCATGAGATGGTACAAAACCCTCTGGCCAGAAAGAAAGAGGATAATATCCCTCCTGATCTCAGAAAAAATAAGAGCTCAGCATGTACATGTACCAAACTTCTCCCCTGAAAGGTGATTATCAGCATCACCATCTCTTTTTAAGGTTTGCAATTAAATGCATTTCTAGGAAAAATATAAAAAGACCTACAATATAGAAAGTCCTTTTCCAAGAGATGATAAATACAGGGAGGCTTTCAGAACCTGTAGGGTGCACGTATCTCAAACTAAAAGAGGTCTTATCAAATATTATTACAGGGCTTTGTGCCTATTTCTCTGGCCAGGCTATATGATCTTAAGGGATCACCCCTTAACCATCTTTTTAATTCCTAGCTCCCAGCACAGTGTCTAGAACAAAGTAAGGGTTCAGTAAATGTTTGCTAAATTGGATCGAATCTTTTAATATTGATAGTTCCCAATCCTGCTCTCCTCTTCAAATTCTAGTCCAGGGTTTCCCAACCTCAGGACTACTGACATTTTAGGCCACATATTTATTTATTTTGGGGGGTTGTGCTGTGCATTGGAGGGTGATTAGCAGCATGCCTGGCCTCTGCCCCCAACATGTCAGTAGTATCACCACGAGTTGTGACATAACTATTCCCAGACATTGCCAAATATACCCCAGTGGGGAAAACTGCTAAGCCTCCTCCAGTGGAGAGCCACAGCTCTAGATATGTTGAAGCTGACATATTGAAAATGCATTCTCAATCTCACAACCAACTCCCTAAAACCCAAGAGGGTAGCTCCACAGGGCAACGGCATCAGAGCTGCTCCTGCTGGGCTTTCCATGTTTGCCTTTCATCATAAGAAGGATCCAAAGCTCCCTCTACAGTTGCATATTTTTACAGTGAATGGATCATTTCTGGGGCCCAAAATAAAGGAGATACTGCCCCCATAATACTCAGTGCCTTCTGCCTAGATCTCCTAAAAGCAAGTGGCCAGACAGACTGGTGAAGAAGCCCAGGTTAACTGGAGGCTGCTAATATCTGAGATCATCAGAGATTGGCAAATTGTGCCTTTATGGGTTCCGGTAAATTTCTGCCATCTAAACAGGACAGTCTATAGAAGAGATTTTCTCATAGCTTCATATTACAACACATTCTCCCCAAGGACTCTCCCATTCTTTTACAAATGTGACTTTTGCCATATTTTCTAGAATTTGTCAAGCATTGCTGAAACCTCCTCATCCTCATCAGAAATGTAGAAGGAGTGACTCCTTCCCCTTTTTCCTTTATGATAGAGTAGGACTCTCCATGCTTTTGAAAGTATTGGAAAGAGCAGCCTCTGTCCACTTCTTCATACCCTCCCCCACTCCTCACTAAGGAAGGAGGGGTGACTTATTTGAAGGTTGTATTTGGGATAAGGAACTGGAAACGAGCAGCTCAACCTTCTCTTTTCTTATTCTTTACTCTGCCTGCCACAAGATGATATACGTGTTTTGTAGGCTCAACTCTCTCTCAAGTGGTTTCTCCAAAGTCTAGGAGGGAAAGCATAGAAAGCCTGCTGAGGTCATTTATTTATTTATGTCAATAATAAAGCTAAATACTTGAAGTCATCTATCAGACTATTGTAGTTATTCCTCAATCCATTCAAGGAACTTTGGAGGGGCAGATGGGAGCTTTATTAATTTGACTAGAGGCCTGGTGCACAAAAATTTGTGCACTATTTGGAGGGGCAGACAGCTTTATTAATTTGATAATTGAACGAGATACCCAGATAGAAATTTTAAGGTCATCTAGAGAAAAAAAAACAGCACATATTGATATTTAGTGTTCTGGGGCAGCCTGGACAAAGATACCCAGGTAGACATTTTAAGGTCATCTAGAGAAAAAACAACACATATTGATATTTAGTGTTCTGGGGCAGCCTGGACAGGAGGTGGGCCTTAGCCTTAATGTGTTCTATCCATGTGGGTTTTTGGAGCAGCTACAGTCCTGGGGTGAGGCCACTGGAGTTGCTCAGCTTGTCCCCCCAGCACTGATTACATAATCAGCGAGTGCTATTGAGTAACCCAGCTGTGCCTAATTTGGTATGGATATTTGAGTGAGCAGCAATTTTTTGGCTTGAGGTGTAGCATGGCTTCTAGGAACTCTTAAGAGCTCATGGTCCCAGGAGGTTAATGGAACAGTGATGTATTGGGATTTTTGCCTCATGAAGTTGGAAGCAGGACTCCTGCCCCTGGATAATATGAACTTGATTGTTAAGCCTGAAGTCTTCAGAGACCAAATATCTGTAGATGGTGGAAGATAAATCTTTCCCCCTTTTAGCATTCGATTTCTCTCACAAAGCAGGACCTCACCATTTTGGCAGTATTGGGAAAAGTAGCTTCTGTCCTTTTCTCTACCTCCTCACTCACTCCTCCCCAAGGAAGAATAACTCTTTAGTGTGTTGAGTTGAAGAGAGAAAGGAACCAAGATTCATGCCCAGCTTAGCCAATTCCAAAAGGACAACCCACAGGGTGGGTGGTTTTCTATTCTGCTCTTCTGTCCATGAGGTAGGAGCATTTGGGTTAGGTCTACTTTCTGAAGGTGGGTCAGAAACTCCTTGCTCTGTGTACTGTCCATAAAACTCGGTGCACTGGAGGCAGTGGTTCTGGGTAAGTGCGTGTGCTCTACAGACCTACCTCTCCTTTGAGGGGTCATTCCAAGCTGTAACTTGGGAGAAAAGAATTAGGAAGCTCAAATGATACCATTTATCCAAGCTGAGTTCTCCAATCCAGGTGATTACAATAATAACATAAAATTGATATTTTGACCTCTATATGTCATTTACTCCTCAAATCCCTCCAAGTTTGGAACTAATTAAGTGTGTGAGCAATTATCACCCTCAGATCCAAGCAAATACCAACGGTTATATCTGTTGAGTACCTAGCATGTACCAGACATGCTGTTAAGAGCTTTACAGGCATTGCTTCATTTAATCCTCACAATTGTATTATATGTGCACTGTTGTTTCTCCCACCCGACAGAGCAGGAAATTGAGGCTTAAGGAGCTGAAGTGACATGACCAAGGCCACAGGCAGCTAGTAACCATGGATCTCAAACAGTAAAGTGGAGCCAGCCTGTTGACTGCATCCTATCATCTTTTAGCATGTTAGGAAAAGATGAGAACAGAGCTTCAGTTTATCCTTGTTGCAGAAAATAGAAAATTATAAGACCATCAATCTGTTGTGAATACTGTCTAAAGCAGATCTTGTCTGAGAACTGTCAAACTGAGTTGTGCAAAGACTAGACTAAGTTAAAAGCTAAATTATAATAAATTGCTTCAGACTTTAAATTTCTGTGTTCTTTTTCATTTATGATACTTATTTCACATATATGAATTTTTTTACATGAATTCTGAAGAGTTAATATGGCTAGATCCATCAACTGATTCCCTAATTCAGCATCAAACTTCTACTACAATGTGACAGTATTTTTAACACGTAGCATCATGGGTAATTAATAACAATGGCAATAGTTCCCAATAAAATCTCATATATAATTATTAACTACAGCCCTAATAGATTTCATTTCATCTTAAAGAATTGCCTTAAGCATTTCATTGGGATTTTGCCTTCACCGTTGTATTTAAGTTACTCATATAAGATCATTTTAATTATCACAGAGTTGAATAGATATAAGATACCAAAGCACAGTGGCTTTAAAACCATAAATATCAATAATAAAATCAATTTAATTTTACATTATCAATTTGATAATAATCTTGACAACCCAATGCTAAAACCAATAAGCACTTCACATTTTACACACACAATCTCTTAGAGAAATGAAAGAATAACAGACTGTAAGAGCATGTAACTATCATAATCACATGAAAAATACATTTCAGGCTTTAAGTATATTCCCGGAAATGCTTCTAAAATTCTTATTATTGAAATGTATCTACAATCATTAGTGAGCTATTTAATTCAGCTTAATTCTACATTATTGTGTCATAAAAGCGTTGCCTTCGAAAGAAAATGTGACAGCATGTAAAATGCAAAGATGTTAAGCTATCACTCCGAGGCTCCCTTCGGAGGGGATTGCTGGTGTCATGTTTTTACCTCTGAAATTGGTTTCTCATAGACATCTTCTCCTATGGATTTCTCCTGGGCGAGGATGGCGTCTCGGTGCAGGACGCGCAGCACTTTCTCTGGCTCCGCAGACCCGTAATGAGCCTCCAGAACCTCAGGCTTGGTTTTCTCCGTCTTCAGCATGTGGATCACATCTTCCCTGGCCTGTGGTAGAAAGTGCAGCAGGGTCAGACGGTTGGCAACATAAATCACATGCCGGGCTCACAAAATCAGCACGGAGCTTACTGAATACATCCCCCACCTCTCCAGGGCGATTGGCAAAATCACTGGGTCTTCTGTTCTTAATTTCTACCGAAAGCAGATTGGCAAGCATATACTCTGCTTCAGGTTGCTAGGAAGCAGGAAGGCAGCAAAGGATTTGTGCTAATATTAACTACATAAAAATTGCTTTTTCTAAATAGCAGTGATTCTAAGAGGGGGTAGGACTGATCCTGGGATACTTACCCCTTTCAGTGCAGAGAAGACCAATGACAATTGAAAGTTCTCTATTTATGCTCAGTGTAGTATTCAAATCTGATTTAAAATAAAAACCTGCTCTTCCCATTCTAGTTATAACTCCATGTGTAATTAACAAAAACAGCCTGTACTAGTGATTTCCTGTTTCCCATCAAGTGATTTCTTTTGCATAGAAACACATGGTTGAGAATTCACATGTTGCTGGACTGGGCTTTTCAAACTAATGTGTTCACACTGAAGGTGAAATTTAACTCCTTTAACATACAGACCGAAAATCAGGTAAGTTAGATTGGTATGGTCAGAGTTGTTTTGTTTTTGTTTTTTAGCAAAACGTTAGCATCATGTTGAAACTCTTGAGAAAATCACATAATTATAGGTTTTAAATCATATTGACTATGGTCCCCATCACATAATGCAAATACATCTGGATGTACTTTCTACTGGTTAGTGGTGATTATCCCTCTAGTTATAATGAAGCTGACACTTGCTAACTGTACTCCCATCTAGTCATATACTTGCTTTTCCAGTAATGGTGATGGGTTTGAAGTATCCTGACTACATTTTAACTTATACTAAAGAATAAACTGGTTGGCAACAGAGTTCAGTCTGTGACAACAGAATAGAGTTTCTACCTGTGTAATGCTAACTATGGCTATGAAGTTACAAACCTCATGGTATTTTAAACATGGGGGTGCTGACTAGTTAGCCCTGACATAGCACCATTATACAGTTGGTCATTCTTGAGGTTCCTCACTTTTATTGTTAATTCATAGTCTCCAAAAAAAATCTAATTCCAGATGGTTAAAGACTAATTTATTGCAGAAACGTCAATGGACTGGAATTTGCAGATTTTCCCATGTTGTTTCTGCCACATATAATGTGCTCGTTTCAAGACAAAAATGGAAAATGCTCATCTTGAAGAACCTAGTGGTTTGGGATTAGTGAGAAAGTTAAAGTCACAAATAGTCCAACAGAAAGGCCATGTGTCTCCGTGTAGGGTGCAAGGACATAAACACAGATTCGGTGTCAGACGAGGCTGTACAGTGTCTTCGTGCAAGTTAGAAAAGGTGCCAGGAGATACAGCCCAGAGTCAGTGCAGCTTGCCTTGTGAGCAAAGAGTGGGCTGTGTTTCAGCCCCTATTCATCCCCTCTGCCAGGCACCTCTGTGCAAGGCATAACTCCATACCGATATACGGTGGCCCTGTGGAGAGGAGCCCAAGGTATGTTGATTGTTATTGGTCTTCAGGCAGGAAGTACTCACACAGGTGAATATTGATAGCATCTTCTAAAATAATGGTTCTCAAACCTGACTGTATTGGAATCACTAGGGAACTTTAAAAAATTCCAATGCCCAGGCCATCCCAGACCAATCACATTCAAGTCTTTAGAAGAAGAAACTAAGCCAGTGATGGCGAACCTATGACACGCGTGTCAGAGGTGACATGCGAACTCATTTTTTTTTGGTTGATTTTTCTTTGTTAAATGGCATTTAAATATATAAAATAAATATCAAAAATATAAATCTTTGTTTTACTATGGTTGCAAAGATCAAAAAATTTTTATATGTGACACGGCACCAGAGTTAAGTTAGGGTTTTTCAAAATGCTGACACGCCGAGCTCAAAGGTTTGCCATCACTGAACTAAGCATTAGTACTTTTTAAAGCTCTTTAGGTGATTCCAGAGTTGAGAGTACTGTTCCACACTAATCAGTTAAGAGGCTTAGCAATCATACTGAATACCAATCCTTGATATTATCGAATCAAACTTCCCCATTCCCGTGCATTTCCCATCTTCAAGTGCATTTCCTTTTCTTGATCATAGAAAGGTGTCATCACCTTACTCCATACTCCTGAGGTTAACCTTTTGCTTTGGTCAAAGCTGAAGGAAAATGAGTTGTCTTAAGAGAAAAAAAAAAAAGAAAGAAACATAGGCCTGTGAATTTATAGAATGACAGGAAGGAAAATTATGAATTATATTTGGAAGTGAAAAAGAAATGGTGACAATGGAACACTGGTGACCTAGAAGTCTCAATAACAAACAACTGTCTCTTTTCCATATTTAAATCAGTTGAACTAGGTTGCGGGATTGGATGAAAAAGGTAAAGGGATTTAGAAGTACAAATTGACAGTTACAAAATAGTGATAGGGATGTAAAGTACAGCATAGAAAATATAGTCAATAATATTGTAATAACTATGTATAGCGTCAGATGAGTACTAGACCTATAGAGGGGATCACTTTGTAAGTTACATAAATATCTAACCAGCATGCTGTACTGAAACTAATATAAGACTGAATGTCAACTGTAATTTAAATTCTTTTTTAATTCTTAAATCAGATAAAGTAAAGGCTCACATTTTAATATGTGAAATACAAAGACTTCTAGAGCAGATATAGAATGTACTGTCTTTTGCGTAATAAATTGAGATGCTGACTCATAAAATGTAAATATTTCAAGTCATCAGCTCCTCTGCTCTCTGAAACAGATTATAGTAGACTAGAATCCTGGTGCACGGATTCATGCACCAGTATGGTCCCTCAGCCTGGCCTGCGGGGATAGGGCCCAAACTGGCTCTCTGACATCCCCTGAGGAGTCCTGGATTGCAAGAGGGCAGTTCTCGGGTGACACTCCAGAATCGGGCTCCCTCCTCTCTGGTTCCAGGTGTGTCACCCAAGAACCGCAGGTGCCACGTCACTGCAGCTCGGCAGCTCCTGTGTTGAGTGTCTGCCCCCTGGTGGTCAGTGCGCATCATAGCTACTGGTCAGACAGTCGAATGGTCAGATGGTTGCTTAGGCTTTTATATATATAGACTAGAGGTCCAGTGTACGAAATTCATGCACAAGTATGGTCCCTAGGCCTGGCTGGTGATTGAAACGCAAGTATCTGGCATGGAAGGGCAGGTCCCAGCTGACCTCTGGGCCCTGGGCAGCACCTGGGTCCCTGGGCCTCCACACACCTCCCTCTGCCTGAGTCACTGCATCCAAGTCCCCACACAGAGATACGGTGAGCACGGCTGGATGCTGTGGGCCAGGGCACAGCATGGGCCTCTGGGCTGCCCAGCAGCACCGTCCGGAAGCCAGGCAGGCAGTATGCTCTCTCCCGGCTGGCCTCGCACACCGGCTCCTGCGCAAATCAATGGACAGCCCGACCAGCTCCTGCAGCGATGGCCCGGCTCACCTGGAAGAGGCCACACGGGTGGGGGGTGGGCTCCTCGCGGGTGCCTGGCACCTGAGCACAGGGGCTTCCCCAGCATGCGAGTCCTGGGATCCCAGTGGAGGGTAGCAGGGGGAGTGAGAGCAAGCTCGGTGGACACCCTGCATTCTCACCACACCTCCGTCCCTGTCACCCCTACCCCCAGGTAGCTGGCGAGAAGTTACAGTGCATCACCAATGTGTACCATGTTCCGTGCCGCCCCCTGGTGGTCAGCGCACGTCATAGCGAGTGGTCGAACTCCCTGTCTCCCCATCAAACGACTGCCCAAGGGGACAATTTGCATATTAGGCTTTTATTATATATAGATAGATGATTAGTAAAGGAACCGAATAAACACAGAACTCAAAATCTTCAGGAGAAATTTTTTTACTGAAGTTTAGAAAATAGATTTGATCATATTCTCGAGTGATTTAGACAAAAAATTAAAACACTAAAAGAAGTGGCTTAGAAAATAGGCACTAAAATATTGTATTGAGACTAGAGCTGCTTTTATTCATTCATTCTCTCTCTTTCTTCCTTGCTTATATGTATTTCCTAAATTTTCTACAGTGAACATCATTAATTTTATAAAGAGAAACAAAGTTATACTTTATGAAGAAAGGAGAAAAACTTCATCATTCCTATTTCATATAAATGAAGCCAAGACAAATAATGAAATAGAAAGTGCTCTTTTTTTGTCATACCAAATGCTGAGAAAGCTGCCTTCATTCTGCGTATAGACAAGCCTGTAATAGTGCCTCTGGGGTTTAGCACAAAGAAGGACGTAACACCAAAACAGCCCAAATGATTATTCTATACTCTGTTTCTGACATTGTCTTGATTCCTTTTATAACTATTTCAAACATAACAGTGAAGCCACAGATACAACAGTCACTAGATAAGTGGTACTAAAAACAGAACAGTATAAAGATCATAGGTTTTCCCACCTAATATTTATTCTGATTAGTTACATTCTGACTAGATAGCTAAAGAAATCACAGCAGAACTATTCCCATATGGCATTTCCACAAATGACATCTCTGAAAAAAATGTTTATCTCTAATTGTGGATTGAGGTAATCAGAGAATGACTCTCAAATGTAAATCAAATAATCTTGAGTGTATAAATTGTCCTGCTAGTTAGCATAAACTTACATGATCTGAGCATAGAGGAAATTAAATAAAGCTATCAGGCAAATAAAAATTTGAATTAACATGAAAATAATATTTACAGCATGGAATGATAGAGTGAGCCCAGCTTTGCAAAAACTCAGAATTTGTTTCCAGTCCCAGCTGTGCTGTGTGATTTGTACAAGTTGCTAACATTACTTTGACCTAATTTTATTGTCTGTGAAATAGGATTATAATAACTTTCTTAAACAATTGTTCTTAGGAGGAAATAAGATATCAGTATATAAAATACCTAGTATAGAACTTGGCACACAGTAGCTGCCAAGTCAATAATAACAATTTAATTTCTATTAGGTCCCCATCAT